CACAAGAAAATAGTCATTCACTTTGTTCCATCTCTCTAGAACTTTTTTTGATAGGCCTGTAGATAGTTAACATGTAGTCTTTTAGACTGCACAGTCTCCTTTCTGATTGTTTTTTAGTTACCCACATCCATTTTTTTTAGTGTTGCCTCTCAAGTACTTTTTCGCTATAGATTTTCTCTCCCACCACACTGGAATCAAAAGTAGAAGGTCTTGCCCCCCAGACTCCGTTTTTCATATTGAGATGATAGTTTCCAGAAGGTCAAAATTCTATTGCCCTTTCCAGCATATGCCTTCGTTTAATCATAGTTCCTTGTTATCCTGTCTCTCCCCTTTCCCTTCTCATCTCACCCTCCATCCCCCTTCCTTGCCTGTTTTGTGACTTAAAGTGTCCCTCGTTATATATCTAATGCTTATTCTTCAAAGATCAAAAGCAAATGCAAAGCCAGAACAAAACCAACACCACTCCCCTTGTAAACACCCCTTTCATATGTGAAGTGGTTAGAAAGATGCAGGCTGCTCTAAGAGCTTTTTAAAAAATTATATTTCGAAGAAGTAATACGAGTACATGGTACAAAATTCAAATGGGTAGAGGTTGAAAAGTAAGCCCCACTCCCAGCCCCAGCTACCCAGGTTCTCTCCTTTGATGTAACTCATTACAAACGATCAAATTTGTATAGATATTCTCTTGCACACTCTGTTACTCAAATGGTAGATATACATCGTTTGGTATTTAACAATATGTTTTGGAGATGATTTTCTATTCAAACATGTACCGCTGCCTCTTTTCATGAGTTTTCTATAGCTTCCTTTAAGGCTGAAGATGATATTCAGGGAAGCTTAAGTATTAGACTCTATTAGGGAAATTAAATGCTTTCCCCCACTCCCCCGCAAGACACACAAACATACACAAACTCACACACGAAAGTATCTACACCAACATGAATAATATGACCACAAGAGAGTTTCCTGGTTCTGGAAAAGAGGTCTCAGCTAAACTGACACATAGTTAAGTTAGTGAAGCTTGTCTATGTTAAAAAATCAGAGGTAATACCACCAGTATTATTAGAATGTTATTAGATGAAATATCTGTTCTTATGAATCACCACATATTTCTTCTTTAACAGAAATGGTAGAGCCATTAAATCACCCCAGTGGCCAGTGTTGCCTTCTGTAGTCCAAACCGGTAGCTATGATGGGAGGTTTAAAATATACATCTTATTTTAAAGCAATACGACCAGAGCTGTTCTCTTTTTGTTGCATTTTCATTAACTCTGATAAGCTTACCATTGTTTGATATAACGTTCAGAAAAGCCAGTCATTGCTCATGTCCTTTTACTGTGATATTTATCATGCAAAGCAAAATTTCCTGCAAATAAAAGCTCAGGTATAAGGTGGGGGAAAGGCCACTTTAGGGGAAAATACATAAATTGTTTTTATGCTGTTGAGGAAGAGAATAGCGTCCTAGGGAATTGGATTGAGAGGTTTCCAAATATGCAGGGCAGAAAATCCTCTGGGGTTCCTGACTCAACACTGGAAAGAAGTTTGGACTACTCAGGAGATTGGGGTTCTAGTTCCAGCTCTGGCCCTGTGAGTGTGAATGAGGTCTATGAACTAGGTGTTCTCAGGTGAAATTAAATCAACTAGAAGATCTTCAGTCTCACTGAAAAATGTGAGTTTATGTTTTTCTAGCTCACAATGGTCTTCTCTGTTTTGTCTCTTACAGTTGTTGGATACAAGACGATTCTCTCTTTTACTTCTCAGTTGTGGCTTATTTTTGCCTCATATTTCTCATTAATTTCTCCATGTTTTGCACTGTTCTTGCTCAACTGAATTCCATGAAATCCCAAAGCCAGAAGACTCAGTGGAAGATGATTCTACATGACCTCAAAGGCACAACAAGCCTGACATTCTTACTTGGCCTCACTTGGGGGTTTGCCTTTTTTGCCTGGGGACCTGTGAGGATCCTTTTCTTGTATCTTTTTGCCATTTTTAATACTTTACAAGGTGACTTCTGCTTCTTTGTATTTTCTGTGGCTAGCTAAGCCTCCACCAAAGCTTTTGCTGTTTTGGAAAATAATCTCATCTTTCATGGATTCAAAAGAGGGAAAGATACTCCAAAGATACTCCAAGAGGTCTCTGCTGTCAATGAGCTGGCATACAGCCATTAGAAACATTAGCTAGATGTTAGGACTTCATTAAATAGCTCAATTTCTCTTACTCAGGGTTGTAAAGAGAAGCCCAAATAGCTAACTCAACTCCAACTAGTTGGCAATGTCTATAACAAACAGCACTTGGTAATATTTTTTACTGCAATATATCAACACATTGTGCTTGTAACTGTACAGATTTACTCTTCTGTTGACATTTTGAAGTGCACAATCCAGTTGAACATAGTAATTATTGAACAGTAGAAACATTAAACTTTTGACCCCATAGACTATGGCTGCATCAGATATCCTAACACATTATAAAAAAGAGCCAAGCTAGGAAATTGTAGTCACAGAGGAATGAAGGTAAAGAGTAAAGAGCAGTAGGTCAAGGCAAAAGGTCAAGGTTCTAGTCTTGGTTTTACTACAAATAAAACCTGAAAAAGTCACCACAACTGGCTGAATTAGACAATTCTAAACTAATGGCTCTATAGCTCTTTAATCTCCTTCCTATTTTCTGGTGAAAGGAGCAAATGATAATGTAGTGATGAAATGGTAGGCCAAAGATGACGTGAGAAGTAAAAGCTAGGGATCTGGTTAATATACATCTGAGCAATTGTTGATATACATTTTAACCTGATTTTGCCTATTTAAAAATCTTGGGAAGAAGGCGCATGCAAAGTGATTTCTGGGTCTCAGACTCCACCCCATGCTCTTACCCTCAATTTTGGCCCAGTTGATTTAGGCCACTGCAGCAGACTGTGAGTCCACTTGGGCAGTTCATTGAGTTAGGGTCTCCTTTAGTGCTTTTTACTATTTATTTATTTGATAAATGCTCTTACCAGAGTACAGTTAATTGATGGTCCTATAGGATGTTTCATGAGGAAAAGGACTCTATGGTCAGAGACATTTTGGAAATGCAAGCAAACTACGTGTCCCCATTCTTGAAATGGCAAAGTATACATTAGCATGGTGAAACCTCTGAAAAATTCTGTCGGGGAAAAAAATCCCTTAAAAATGTTGTTTTAGCCCTGGCTGGGTGGCTCAGTTGCTTCAAGCATCATCCAGTACACCAAAAGGTTGTGGGTTCAATTCCTGGTTAGGGTACATACCTAGGTTGCGAGTTTGGTCTCCAGTCAGGTGGCTTACAGGAGGCAACCGATCAATGTTTCTCTCTTACACTGATGTTTCTTTCTGTCTGTCTGTCTCTCCCTTCCTCTCTCTAAAATCAATAAAAAACATATCCTTGGGTAAGTATTAAAAAAAAAATTTGTTTTAACCCAGCATTTAAAAACCTTCAGAACACTGTCATTGTGGCTGTTAACCTCTGAGGAATCTTGGGAAATATGAATTGGTATGCAGTTATTATATGCCAGGCATTTGTAAGGTGCTGCAGGAAAATCAGGGAACAGTTTAGAATAAGGCATAGTTTTTTCCATCATGTCTAATGATTCAAGAAACCATTTCATTTTGCAGCAATGAAGTGTATCAACTAAACCTTTTTGTCCCACCAGATTATGCTAACCTTATATAGACATATTCTGTGAAAAGACACAAATGTGGTGTTCTTCCTTCACATGCCATTATTATTCTTTCTTATAGTGAGGACAGAATTTTTGTGAGCTCTCCTCCCCACTCCCACATGGTTCCCTTTGAAGCTACCAGCATTTGGTTGTATCCTAGATTGTTGACTGAGGCCCTGGTGATGATTCTATACCTCTACAGAACTACCTGAACTACACTAAGATTACCCTGGTCTCATTATCATGATGCTTTAAGAGCTAACCAGTCTCGCCTGGCTGGGAGTGGCTGAGCGGTTGAGCTTTGACCTGGGATCCAGGCGATCGGGGTTCGATTCCCGGTCAGGGCACATGCCCGGGTTGTGGGCTTGATCAATGACTCTCTCATCATTGATGTTTCTATCTCTCTCTCCCTCTCCTTTCCTCTCTCTGAAATCAATAAAGATATATTTAAAAA